GTCTCTGAGGCAGGGGGCAGAGTAACCAGCTGGACTTGGCAGGAGATGTTCACAGGGTCCTCGAGCTCCAGCAGGGCAATGTCAAACCCCGCCTGGATGGCGTAGTACTCAGGATGCACGATGATCCGGCTGATGGGCAGTAGCTTGTCACGATAATACAGGTGCTGTTCCCGCAGCTGCACCCTCAGGTCTGTGGGACTTTTGAAGTCCCTGGAGAGAGGGGGTACCTACTCAGGAGGCAGGGCAGCCTCCTGGACACCAAGGAATGTGAGTGGAGCCCCAGGCCTGCCCTCACCCACCGGGCCCCATGGTCACTCACGGTCCAACGCAGTGTGCCGCGGTCAGCACCCACTGGGGGTGGATGAGGGAGCCCCCGCAGAAGTGTTCCCAGTATTGATGTTTGACTCTCAGGCTCACTTGCCAGGGCCACTTGCTGCCAGGGGCCTCCTTCCCTCCCACGATGTTCACTCGCTCCAGGGCCTGGCGTGGGGCTGGGGCAGGAAGCACTCTCAGGACAAGACACAGCCCAGCCCCACACAACCCTGGGCTTCTGTCAACCCACCTGCCCATCGTGGAGCTTTTAGGGTGCGGAAGAAGGGGCAGGGCCAGGGCCAGCCAGGGTTAGAACTCACCAGGGGCCATGTGGACTGGGCTCAGCAGGAGAGGCAGTGCCAGCACCAGCAGATTCAGCATCTGGAAAGAGAGAGGCTGGGGGCTGGGCCAGGCCAGGGTCTACAGAGTGTGGGGTACAGATGAAGTCGGGAACCCCGGGATCAGGGATTGGTCCAGGCCACAGGTCAGAGGTCTTGCTTCTCCAGATCTGAGGATCAGTGACTCACTGCATGGTGACACCCAGATGTTGGGGTCTGGCGTGGGGTGCTTACCTTGGCTGGTCCCTGCTGCTTTGCCCCAGTCTGCTCTCCCCTCCCCATTTATCCTTCCAGGCCATCAGGGGGTCAGAGAAGAGGCGCTCCATCCTCCAATCCAGAGGGGAGGAAGCAGATGATTCAGACTCAGGGCCCAGATGTGCCTTCCGGAGATGGCAGACCTGATTCCTCGGGTGGTCTGACCATGTTCATCTCCGGGCATTATCTGAACTGTTCTGCTGATCAATCACAGTGGTACCTTGTTATCTCGGGATCTGAGTGCCATCAGCAGAGGGACAGGCAAATGGAAGTGACAGTGAGACAAGCAGCCAGTGCCAGCTCCCCTTGGACACTTGCCTACCAGGCTCCTGACCTCCATTGGCCAGGGCTGACCACTGTCCCATCCACCTCATCTCCTCACTCTCCCCTGGACCTACCTGTTGGTCACCAGGGCCTCCAGGGCAAATCCCCGCTCACAGCCTCTTGGACCACTTGCATTATCCCACTGCCATCTGGGTCTCCCCTCCTGTGCCTCAGCCTGTTCCCTACCCTGCCCAGACACCAGCATGGATCTGGGGCCTGCCTGTGTCTGGTTGGCTCCAGCAGCAGCTTTTCCAGGTGGTCAAGTGCTCAGCTCTGTTCCTCTCCATATTTCAGGTTAGCTGTCTATCCCGTGACCTCAGTTCTCTGGTGGAGTCAAAAAATACATTGTTTTGCAGTTTGTCCAGCAGTATGAGCAATGCCCTTTCCAGCTGTCTATATCTCTGAGCCAAACCAGGTCTTGTATATGAGGTCAGGCCCAATCTCTGATTTTTCCATAGAAGTAGCTAGTATTTCAGCACATTTGTTGAAAGACCACCATTTACTCACTGACGTCCATCGTCATCTGTCTCAGAACTCAGTGGGCTTCATGTTGGTCTACTTCTAGGCTCTCTCATTGGTTCCATTGATCTCTACTCCTTATAACTATAGCACACTGACACGATTAATTTGCTGAGAATTTCTGTCATCACAAACGTGTATTGAATTTTGCCTGTTTCTTTTCTTCATCTAAAGATATGACAATCGTTTTTCTTGTTTAGTTTGTCAATATGATGAATTACCTGGATTGACCTTCCAGGTAATGTTAAACCAAACTCGCATCCTTAGAATGAACTGAACTTGGCTGTGACGTTGTCATCTTTTCTGTATTTTGAGGAATTCTATTTGGGAAAATCAGATTAAGGATGTTTTGCTTCTCTTTGCAGAAGAGACACTGGTCTGTAGTTTTCTTATAAGGTCTTTGGTTTTCTCATCCAAACTTCTCTTGGTCAGGATGTATTATCTAGATCATTTATATATTTCTGTATTCAATTTACTAATATTTTATCGAGGATTCTTGTGTCTATGTTGATGAGGGGTATTGGTCTGTAGTTTCCTTTCTATGTAATGTCTTCGACTAATTTTGATGTCATGGTAATCCTGACTTTATAAAAGGAGTTGAGAAGTGTTCTCTCCCCTTGTTTCCTGGAATGGATTATGAAGATTTGGTATTATTTCTTTCTTAAATAGTTTGGTAAATTTGGGGAAATCGTCTGAGTTTGAAATTACCACAAACTTGGTGGTATAATGACACATTTATTCTCTTATGGTTCTGAAAGTCAGAGGTCTGACATGGGTCTTGTGGGGCTAAAATTCAGGTGTGGGCAGGGCAGCATTCCTCCAAGAGGCTCCAAGGAAGAATCAGTTTCTCAGCTTTTCCAGCTTCTAGTGGTCCGCGATTTCCTCAGCTCTTGACCACAGCTGGGAAAGATTCTGTGATTTTAGGGACCCATGTGAGGATATTGGGCCCACATGGGTTTTCCTAGGTTTTGTGATAACCTAGGAAAACCTCCCATCTCAAGGCCATCACCTTAATCAGGTCTTCAAAGGTCTTTTGCCCTGTGAGCTCCATAATCATAGGTGCTGGGGGTTGGGATAAGGACATCTTGAGGGCCATCCTTCTGCCTCCCACATGTATGATGGGCTGCAAGTGTGCAGAAGGGGGGTCCTAGTGCTGGAGGCTAATTGAGCCAGGATAAGTGAGGGATGAATTCCCTTCTTGTGTGAACCAAGGGATGGTACTGGGGGTCCAGGAGGTAGAAGACCTGAGTTCCTGAAGACCTGCCCACATCCCTGCACTGGGCAATATCAGGCTGCCTGGATCCTAGAAGGGAGTGTTGCTATTGACCTTATCCATCATCAAGGCAAATATGGAAGTCTCACTTTTTAGCCACAGCTCTTGGTCACATGCTGGCAGCAAAGAGATAAGTCTGTGTCCCGAGAAGCTGTGTCCTGGTAGATCATCAGGCAACTCCCACCTGCCTCAGTTTCCCCCATCTAAGAGGAGATCGCTGACCTAGAGGAATTCTCACACCGTCCTATGATTTGGACCTGGGGGAAGCAGGCAGGAAAGTACCAGCCTCTCCGGAGTCCCCCTAATCAACTCAGTCATCAGGCCCCGGCTAGACAGAGGACGGTTAGGAAGAGCTGCCCCAGGCTGGGCATCTGGTGCTGTGTCTGTTTGTGGTAGAGACCATGGGACCCAGGATTGAATGGGGGCACAGGGACATTGGGGAGGGTAGGTTGACATGGAGACTCTCGTCATAGGGCCTGAGCTGCCTCTGCTTGGCTTAGTCTGGGCCTGGAACTTTATTTCTGTATTTCTTTTTTTTTTTTTAATATACTTTAAAGTTTTAAACCAGGTGTAGATTTATACCCCTTGCCCAATTTCCTCTATTATTAACATCTTATAATAGTACGATTTATATGTTATAATTAATGACCCGATATGATGCATTATATTAACTAAAGTCCGTGGTTTATTTGGATGGCCTTACTTTTTCTCTAATATCCTTTTTCTGTCCCAGGATCCCATCCAGGCCCTACATGGCATTTAATTGTCTCATCTTCTTAGGCTTCTCTGGGCTGTGACAGCTTCATAAACTCCAGGCTCATTTTGTATATGCATTTCCTGCCTCAGTTCTAGAATCAGCCATTTCTTCAAGGACTTTGTTTCCTTTTTGTGGAGACGCTGTTAGAAACCTCGATCTGGTGTGCTGGTTGCCCTTGGGGTGTGCTTGCCTCTAGGCCCTCAGCTGACAGAACAAGGCAATATGTGTGCACTAACTGGTGTGTAGACGTATCTATAAATATTTTCATATGTGTCCATCTGTATCTACATTAAGATAAACATGACTTTGAACTCATGTCTCCAGCTCTAATCCATCACCACAGGGATCACTCTCATCTCCTCCTTGCTTGTCTGCAACCTCCCACCCCAACAGTGAGGACCTGGCTCCACCAACCTCCGTCCATTCACTTCATTGTTCATTTTTAGTGTACCTATCAGGTTGTCACCCTGTACCCCTGTGAGAATTAACTGTCAGCTAGGGTGCCATGCTGTGTGCAGTCCCTGTGCCTTTAGTCTTACAGTTGCTACTCATTACCAAAGTGACTTAGGTCAGCACACAGAGCCTAGTGGTTTTGTTTGAGGCCAGTTTGTGCTTCCAGGTCTCTGACACAGAGATGGAGAGGTGAACATGTGGCCTGAAAAGCAATAGGTCTGCCAAACCCTTGTTCTATAATTTTCCACAAAGAATTGCCACAGCCCAGAGGTCCTCAGAGTCCTGGAAAACCATGCCAAATTACCACATGCATGCTCGGTGTTTACAACAATGGCTAAAATCTGCTTGATTCATTCTTTTCTAATCAATAACCTGGAATTTTGTGATAAGCAATGTGCATACTAGTATGCTCAGGGTAAGTGAGCTGTCAGGGCATGTGGCTCTGAACTATAAGAACATATTTGTCTCCCTGCTTGGGTTTCCCTGGCCTTTGGCATAGTCAGAAAGGACTGGGCATGCTGATGGGACAAGGGTGCATGGCTCTTACAGACAAACATTGTATAGTAGTGTTGGAAGGAACTCAGTTGTTGGAGTCAGGAAACCTAGATCCTAGTCCTAACCTTGCACGAATCATCTGTGTGACCCTGACCAAGTACCTTGACTTCTTTCCTAATTTTTTGTTTTGTTTTTATCTCTAAAATGTAAAACATTCCCTATGAAAGATCTCATGCAATGCAATGCCAAATCCATATCTTGGCCAGCAAAGAACTTATAAAACATGCAATTAAATGATTTTAGGCAGACTGACAATGAACATCCTACTAAAAATACTACCTCCCACACCACCTAAGCCACCTCTAACTTAACCCCACCAACACTCCCTGACATATTTCTTTCAAAAATTTTTTGTTTTAATTTTTCAATCACAATTGACATTCAATATTACATTAGCTTCAGGTATACACCATAGGAGTTAGACATTTATATAACTTATGAAGTGATCCAGTATGTCTAGTACTCATCTGGTACCATATATAGTTATTACAATATTGACTCTGTTACCTACACTGTACTTTACATCCCTGTGACTATTTGGTAACCTAATTTGTGTACTTCTTAATCCCTTCACTTTTTTTACCCAGCCCTCTAATCGCTTCCTTCCATCTGGCAACCTGCAGTTTGTTCTCTATATCTATGAGTTTGTTTCTATTTTGTTTGTTTGTTTATTCTGTTCTTTAGGCTCCACATATTAAGTAAAATCATATGGTATTTGTTTTTCTCAGTCTGACTCATTTCACTTAGCATAATACCCTGTAGGTCCATCTAGGTCCATGTCATTGCAAATTGTAAGATTTCATTGTTTTCTATGGCCAAGTACTATTCCATTGTATATATGTAGCACCTCTTCTTTATCCAAATGTCTATTAATGAACACTTAAGTTGATTCCATATCTTGACTGTT